TAAATCAAACTAACAAGACGTAAGATGTAATTCACACGGAAATACCATACTGACTAATTAGCGATTGATTCAGGTATGTGTGCATTTGCGTAATAGCATGCACATGCGTGCAAATGGCAAATTTGTACATCTACAGGAAACTCATCAAAGCACACTTAGTAAACACGAATAGTATATAGGATATAAATACACACCTGTGCAGATACAACTAAATATAAAGTAAATATTCGAACAGCGGCAATGAGTATGCAGTGTACAGGCTCTAATACAATTTCCCTATTACACATACAGTGGCACATCTGGTCCCATTCAGGAATTCCACGATAGATTCTCGGTATATCAAATTATTTTGATCTTGATACCGAATGCTATGAAAATATATATGGTCTTTGGATAAATCTAGACGGTAAATTGCAATACCAATTGGCAAATGATTCTAGCGTACGATACAATTAAGATACGTTCCTTATACGAATTTAAATTTTAAAAAAGTATTATGAAAATTACTGAGACACTGCAAGAAGTCATAATAGCTCGTTTAAGAAATTGTTAAACTCTAGGAATGACATCGTTCGCATAAATCTCGAATAATGAAACCGAACAATCGTTACCAAAGTATTGTTAGTTAAATTCTACTTAAAAAGATTACATCTCGTATGCACTACGTCAACCTAATAATTAATCTTTCATGTACATATATTTATGCCATCTGTATAGTATAGTACAAACTGTCGTACAAAAGTTTGGAGTCTCTATGTAATCCAAGAATTGAAGAGAAAAATCAAACTGGCATTAACTCAAAATTAATAAAAAGAAACCAGCTGAAAATTTGTTGTATGTACAATCGAAAAGATAAAACCTTCAGCCGATACTATATTATACAGGGTGGTTGGTAACTGGTGGTACAAGCGGAAAGAGGGTGATTCTACGCGAAAAAAGAAGTCGAAAATATAGAATAAAAATTTTTCGTTTGAGGCTTTGTTTTCGAGTAAATCGACTTTGAATTTTCGCTCGGTACGCGTGCATTTTATCACGTCTCGTTATAACGGATCTCACTGTAGATCGTTGTCTCGATGGAAAAATTAAAAAAAAAAAAATTAAAAAAAGATTTTTATTCTATATTTTCGACTTCTTTTTTCGCGTAGAATTTAAGGGAAAAAACACTTGCTTGATTGTTGTAGCATAATATGACATACAGGAAATTGTTATTCCGCAGCATATACAGGGCATTTAATTTAAATAAATGTGGAAAGATGGAATGTTAAATATTTGAAAAAATTATACAAAGGAATAATGTAAATAAAAAAACATATACTAATGTTCAACATTCTCTTAATCTTGCCATAATCGTGAAATCTCTGACGATTATTTTTGTACGATAAACGACAGCTATTTTCTCTATTTTAAACCAACGTTTCCGCGTAATCGACAGTTTGAACCGCGTAATCAATTCACCGATTTGCAATCAGTTGTCCATTGTGTATTGTACAAATCGCTGTGAACGATTCTAATTACGCAACGGGGTATCGTATTTCACCTCATTACCTTTTCTCTCTGTTCTTACACGTGTATACGTGTGTAGAGCTGAAAAGGGTATCGAAAGAGGCGTATCACGATCTCGTTAGAAGCGGATGATAAACAACTTGAGAGTATTCTCTCGAATGTGTCTAAGGAAAATTTCCTAGTTGCTTGTGAGCGTGCATCCTCGTATGGATATCTTGCTTTCACGCTTTACATATTTAAAAGAAATATATACGCATAGTCGCGTCTACAAATATACGTGTGAGTTTCCTTCATTTTGAATAGCTTCAACTTTTTCTCATTACTTTGTAGGGCATATTTTATTAAAGCGCACGTGACGCACTTTATTTATGTTAGGGAGCGTTATAAATATTATATACAGGGTGGTTGGTAACTGGTGGTACAAGCGGAAAGGGGGTGATTCTACGCGAAAAAAGAAGTCGAAAATATAGAATAAAAATTTTTCGTTTGAGGCTTTGTTTTCGAGTAAATCGACTTTGAATTTTCGCTCGGTACGCGTGCATTTTATCACGTCTCGTTATAACGGATCTCACTGTAGATCGTTGTCTCGATGGAAAAATTAAAAAAAAAAAAATTAAAAAAAGATTTTTATTCTATATTTTCGACTTCTTTTTTCGCGTAGAATCACCCCCTTTCCGCTTGTACCACCAGTTACCAACCACCCTGTATATAATATTTATAACGCTCCCTAACATAAATAAAGTGCGTCACGTGCGCTTTAATAAAATATGCCCTACAAAGTAATGAGAAAAAGTTGAAGCTATTCAAAATGAAGGAAACTCACACGTATATTTGTAGACGCGACTATGCGTATATATTTCTTTTAAATATGTAAAGCGTGAAAGCAAGATATCCATACGAGGATGCACGCTCACAAGCAACTAGGAAATTTTCCTTAGACACATTCGAGAGAATACTCTCAAGTTGTTTATCATCCGCTTCTAACGAGATCGTGATACGCCTCTTTCGATACCCTTTTCAGCTCTACACACGTATACACGTGTAAGAACAGAGAGAAAAGGTAATGAGGTGAAATACGATACCCCGTTGCGTAATTAGAATCGTTCACAGCGATTTGTACAATACACAATGGACAACTGATTGCAAATCGGTGAATTGATTACGCGGTTCAAACTGTCGATTACGCGGAAACGTTGGTTTAAAATAGAGAAAATAGCTGTCGTTTATCGTACAAAAATAATCGTCAGAGATTTCACGATTATGGCAAGATTAAGAGAATGTTGAACATTAGTATATGTTTTTTTATTTACATTATTCCTTTGTATAATTTTTTCAAATATTTAACATTCCATCTTTCCACATTTATTTAAATTAAATGCCCTGTATATGCTGCGGAATAACAATTTCCTGTATGTCATATTATGCTACAACAATCAAGCAAGTGTTTTTTCCCTTAAATTGGTCTTCGATAAAGTTAATTCGAGCTGTTTGTTTCATTTAACGTTTATTTTCATTTCGACCAGTTCATATTTCACGATACACAACGTTCAACCTACAAATGGCCATTCATGTGTAATCCTTTCAACCCCATGTATGAGGACTAGTCATTAGACACGGTGTGAAGTGCGTATTGGGAGGCCTGCGAATGATGAAATCGGAGTCCCTTATTTACAAAACCAGATGTTCATTTTATGCGCGTCGGTTGAACGCACATCCCAACATTTCGAACAAAGTTCGTTAATTTAAGACTCTCCGATGGATAGTGTCAATTACAAAGTGGCGTGTGTAATTTATCGATATTCCAGGTACTTCGCATAAAATCCCGCAAAGGACTGTGATAAACAAAGCTTAAATCTACTTTGATATTTAGTTTCATCTCGAATAACTATCGTTAATCCGTAACATCAGGAACTGTTAAAATAAAAGTTTCGCGTAATCTCTAATCCCATTAATTTTACCATTTGCTCCGATGGCTAAAGCGCTTTCAGTAGCTGTTCGGGGAAATTCGGAGCCTCATAAACGGGCTTATGACCGCCTCTTATTACAGATAAATGCGCAACACTTCGTCTTCCTTTCTATCCAACTTTCCACCACAGCCTCCACGTTATGGCCAGCTTCACAAGATATACCGCTAATAAAATGTCGCGAATGGTCCCGTGAAAGTAACAAAAACTCGCCGACAGTACGAGACTTAGAAAGAGTTTTCTTTAATTGTCCCATAATACATCCTGTCTGTCGAGCTAGCTTTCGTATGACCATTCTCCATTTATCGGGAAGCAATCAAGGTGAATCTCTATCGTTGTGTCAGGAAAGAAATTACGAAAGTAAACGCTGATACGCGAGCCGATAATTCACGGCGTTCTCCACGACAGTGAGAAATTTTCAACGTCTTCGTATGCCACGGAGTAACTTTCCGGCAATGAGAGATGGGCGCCACCCACTCCGTGAAACTAAAGTGATCACGAGGCGCTTGGGAAATCACGAAAACAATTCGCGTTCCTCAGAGTGAAACAGATCGTCTCCGAAGCAACCGACTCTTTGTTCAGAGGCTTGTCATTGTCGGCGATAAGTTGAAACGCGGATTGTACGAGCCTTTCCCGAAGACCTGTCGCTCTTAGCCATGGTAAATAAGCGCTTTCACAGAGCTGCTTCCATCTGCAAGTCGTTCGTGAAATTTCCGAACTAATGGCCACCAGTTTACGCCAACTTCTCGCTCAACTTTTTTCGTTCCACTATTCTAACGTCAGTCATGGTTTTGTGGCGTAGAAACGCGCCGAGAAACCGCTGCTGGACGTTTCATTTGCGTGACAACTGACTGAGCTTGAGTAGGAAAGATTACTCTCCGAATTGGTATATTGACGGTCGCTGACTAATATTATGTTTCTTTGTGCATAAAGTATGGTCATACACGGGTTGGTTGATCGAACAGTTGAAAGGACAAACGATGTAATTTCTAGAAGTAAAAATTTCAAATAAATCAAAAGCATCTTTATTAGTTTTGTCATCTATGACATGTATCGCTCGAACTGTACATTATCAGCGTGTGACATTTTTACGGAGTTAGAAAGAAAAAAATTGGTTAAATTTGTTTATCTGGGTATTGATTCTACAGCTTTTTCGACCAAAAGTCTAGGGAGTCGATACTTATGATAGCCCCCAGAATGAAAATAAATTACCCTGACACTACAAAAATCATTTCTTACTTCTTTTGACATTTACATTTTTTACCATTTTATCTCTTCGGTTAACAACGACACGAAGATAAAGAAGAATTCCTTGTATTCATTTGAATTAATAATAATAATTTGCGTAATAATTGAAAGCAAATTCTTCACATTCTCCTCTTTGTCCTGATTACAGAAACTTGTAATTTTCTACTTCAGAATTTCTGCAAAATAACCAACCGTGAATGCAATTTTATTACTTTGCGCCGAATATTACGAGGAAAAATTATAAAAGATACATGGAAAGTACCATTTCGTGCCTTTCTTTTGCAGATCGATTCTACAGATTTTCCGAGTACGACATATTACGTCAACGCTATAGAAAGAGTACTAATTCTATTGTTAAATATAAAAGAAGAAAGTTATATAATACGAAACTGAAACAATAAAATCAAATGTTGTCTTTCAACTTGAAGCAGTTAATCGTCAAATCGTCATTGTTAAAGTTAACAGCTACAGGACTGAAAGTTATTGGAAATTATAACGGAAACTGCCCAGCAGAAATCAAAAGCTTTCGAGAAACTGATAATAAAACGAAAGAATCAAAGGAAAAGTATTCAATTTTTTAATATTTCCAGGAATTTACACTGATTAATCGTGTCCTTTCGAATTGCTATTTAAATCGTATATCTAAACGACGAATCATACATGGCAAGCGCAATATTTTATGAAAAATTCGAGTGGAAGTCAAACGATGACAGCCAAAAAGCTTTCTGAATGACATTTTTTGGAGTAACATTTTCACGACGAACGAAAATAACTGAGAGATACGAGCGAGCTGTTACGCGCTGACACGTTTCAGCGTAACTGCTATTTACGGACAAGGAATAGTAAAAAGGCAAACAGTTCTCCTTCGTAATATCCGTTCTGTCGTCCGATGATAAGGAAACCATGAAGTAAAAAAGAAAAAAAGGAACAATAACGCATAATTGATAAAGATTTGCGAAACGAAACGGGGATCGCGTCAAAGGGACGCAATAAAAGAGATTACATTTGCAATTGCGCATTCTCATTTGCTCGTGGAAAAATGAGAAATTCGAGGGCGGCACTCAGAGACTTTCTGTCTGGACAAACGTTCCAAATTTTCACGTAATATTATTCGGTGCGTCTGCGATTTATTAACGAAGCTCCGGCGGGAAAACGGATGCAAACGATCTGGATAAATAAAACGCAAGAACAGTGTGACGAACTCGTCCGTTAATTTTCGGATAATCGAAAGAACAAAGAAAAAAAATTCGCTAGCAAATTACTCGACGAACGAAGAGTCAAATATTCGAATCGAAAAACTGCAACGAATTCACTTCACGTTTAAAAACAAAAATTAGTACGTTAAGAAAACAAATTATAGAAAAAAAATTGCGAAAAATTTTATTGCATTCCCTTCACGGTTTATATCACCGAGAAGACAACGTAAAAAGAGGAAACTCAATAAGGATCACGGAACAGCGATCGGGTGTAGAGCAAACGACATCAATATCGACGTTTACATGCCTCGAGTCGACCTAGCGGAATATACGAGGCGTAAAAACGCGATCCGTGACGATTGCGTTCAAGCGAAAATCTAGATTTCCAACAGAGAGTTGCACGGTAAGTCGTCACGGTGTGCGGATTGGGGCGAATTCTCGGCTACATCGGCGGACGACCGTCGGTGGGGGCCGCCAACATGTCGCAGTCTGGTTCAGGAGGGGTGAACGATAGCCAGGAACAAAATCAGGTTGGACAAACGATGGAGAATCAACAGACAGCGTGTCAAAACGGCCGAGCTGAGCCGCTTGCCGACAATGCGAAACAAGATTTGTCCAACGGCTTTGAAAATCGTACCATAGAATATGACAGATTCTCTCAAGATAGGGTTCAACAGAACCAGTCAGCCGGCCAAACTCAAGAACAACAACAACAACAACAACAGCAACAGCAAACTCAGCAGACAGGTCAATATCTGACTGGAAGGAAGCAACCTGTGGTCGGTGTTCCCGAGGATAGACACCCCCCTAGTGGACAACTTCCACCCCAACAGTACAGCCAGGAAAAGTCTGCTCTCGAGAGGACGCAACATGTTTCTCAAACTAGTACACAAACCCTACCGGTTCAAGCGCAGCCTCAATTCATGCCTGATTACGATCAAACTCAATACACGCAGATCCGAAGTCAGTTCGAGGTGAGACCTCAACAGATGTATCCTCAACAAGCTCAATACGCTGAAAGAGCTGGTTACGTGACGAGGGATGTAACATACAGAGATCCTGCGTTGTATCAAGGAGGTGCAGCGAATCCGATGTTCACTGGACAGGGTCAATACGTAACTGTTCAACACGGATCGCAAATGCCTCCTCAATCCGCCAGTCCTCAGCCACCGTACTTTTCAGGCGTTGTCGTACCTCAACCGGCTAGTTACGCTCAATTCGGCGGGCAACCCCAGTATTCCTATAGTCAGTACCCTCAAACAGTAATGAACGCGGTACCGTATAATCCTCATACTGGAATGTATCCCGCTCAACAATTCGGACAGCAATCACCGAATCCTCAAAGATTCTCTCAGGAACTTGGACAATATCAGACACAGCCTATCATTCAACCGATCGCCCAAAATGTGACTCATAGTCTCGCAATGGCGACTACAGAGAGACCCAGTCGTGGACCCAAACCTATGGTTCCACCACGAGGTAATTCGAAGATTACTCACGATACAGGGCACAGAAAGTCTGCGAGTGTCGATGTTCCAGGTATGCAGAAACCTAAATACGACCCAAATCAAAATCCACCGCAAGAACAAATTCACCGAAGCGACGGGGCTATAATCGTGCAAGGCGCACAGATCGTAACCGATACTCAGGATAGAAGATACCTGACAGCCATTAATCAAAACCCTAGGACGAGACAGGACGGTCTGTACGTCGATACGAATGGAGATCCACCTGGTCGAGAAAAAATGTGCGAAACCGTGGTAACCGATTGTGGTCTATATGTGACCAGACCTGAACACAGGAAATCTATTTCCGTGGACGTTACATCGAGTTTCCAACGTCGTAACGATACGATTACGTTCACGTTCCCTGGTGACACGAATCAGGAAATATTAATGCCAGCGAGGAAGACCGGAACTATGGTGGATCCGAAACGAGTCGAAACCAATCAAGTGTATCCGCCTGATCAAAGGCGATTGGATACGAGCTTAAGAGTATCGCCGATGGCTTTTGATACGAGACAAGAAAATAGGAAGAGCATAGGGGCTGATAGAAAGCCCGAATGGGGTAACGTGAGCCCTAATCAAAGAGTAGCGATACCGCAAGAAAACAGACGATCCGATTACTTCGACGAGCATAGGAGGTCACCGATGACCATAGAAGGCAAGAGAATGGAAGACGTTAGAAGGTCTCCTATGCCTTTCATGCCGATTCGCGAAGGATCCGCGGATCGCGCGGGACAGAAAAGTCCGTCGTTTGTAAATCAAAATTTCGAGAAGACTAGACAAGAGCTAACGATATGGGCTGAACAACGACAACGACAGGAACACGAAAGAAACATGATGCAGAATCAAATGCTCTCCACCAGTCCACGTTCTCGTAATCAGTCCGAGGAAAGAAGAGACCCGAGACAGATACATCAACCAGATGATCGCAAGGAAGCTAGAATGACTCAATCGGCCTTTCAACCTATACCCAACATCAGTCAGAGGACTATAATGGAACAACGTCGACATTTGCGACACGTTAGTGCTGACCTAACGAAGCACATGGAACTCTCGAGAAAGGAGTTCGACGAGCAGCCCATTAGTGGATCCGTAGCGAACCTTGGACCACCTGCTAGTACGGCTCCCTCTCAAAGAGCCAGTCCTAATATATGCCATCAGTATCCAGCCCTTAGCGAAGCAAAGTTAGATACCAAGACTGTCCTAACTGTGGTAACAGACTTCGGTGAAACAAGTTTAGGTAAACCGATCGATCAAGTAGATCATATAATCCATAGCCATCGTAAAAGCCACAATATCTCGACCAGCTTACTAACTCATAGCAAGAGCCAGAGCGATAATCTTCAAAGTCAACTAGACACACAGAACGAAAAATCCGACGCTTTGACGTCCCAGCAGCAACAACTGCAAAATCAACAGAATCTTGATTTAATATCCGAGAAACTCAGCCAATTTGAGCGTCAACAAAGCGATCTACAAGCGAAGCTCCAATGTCTTCAGAATCAAAATCAAATCCTCGATAAAGTGGCGCAATTTCAACATCAACAAAGTGATTTACAAGCCCGTCTGCAAAGTTTGCAAGCACAGAACCAGCTGTGCGATAAATTACAAAGATCGACCGATTTTCAGCCGCATTCGATCGGAAACGAGATCCACCAGATTCAATCGAATTCTCTGCCCAACCACCAAGAACAACCGACCGATAAGATTTGCACGTCGCAAAGCCAGAATACGCCGCACAGTCATCATCAAACGTTATTGACCGCTTCCTATACACAGAACTCTAATCATCAATCCTGCCAATCGTCTGTCTGCGAGAAATTATCACCTAGGCTTCAACACGACACCAGCGACCCGAATTCTATTCAGATACCGAACATGTCGCAGATGCCACTGCCGTGTCTGCCACAATTCGATCGCGCCGATACGTCCCGTACTTCGTTCTCACAGTTTCATCGACTTCAGTGTCAAATCGACGGTCACGAGGGAGCTTCAGCACCGTCCAGCACTGCTTCCGTGGCTTCGTTTACTGGAACTTTGAAAAAGGTACCTCCCGAGAAACCACCGAGAACGTCGCTAATCGTTCAGTCACCGGAGTCAGAGGTAAGGGCGTTAACGATTGAAAATGATATGGATGTTGAAAAGTTTTCAGTTTTTCGTTTTGCATGATGTAACGATGTATAGGCAGCTATAACGATCTTAGTGCATTTTACAGCAGGGTTATTTTTATTTGAATACAATTTTGCCACATTTCAAAGTAAAGATACTATATTTTACTTCAAAAGCAGTATAACATGATCACGAATATGCTACGAGATAATTGTTTATTCATATATCGAGAAATGATTTATTTTAATAAAAAAATAGTCTTTACATCATAGAACAGTCGACCATAACAATGGTCTTAAGTTATTTAATTTTATTTTGTACTCCGCATTTTACGCGATACAAATTCCCAACAATTTTTATCCTGAAAAATATAAAATACAAAATAACATCGAGCAAATATTTTTCCGGCTAACTGTGTCCTAGTCAATTAAGGATCAATAGTGTTATAATTTTGCACGTTTAGATATTCATTGTTACAATCTAGAATAGTATATAAAATTATATCGTAGAAACGCTATTTCGAAACTACAATTTTACGTTAAAATAACCATATAAAGGTGTATAATGTTGATTGAAAGAAATGCAAGTTTCCATCAAAAGATAGAAATAATTCGTGCCACGAATCTTATATTTATTTGATTGTAGAAACACGCTTTAAGTATAAAGAAAACAATTATATGAAACGTAAAATGCGTAATAAGAGACACTCGAACGATCAAAGTACGTCGCTTATACGCCAATAATTTCTTATAAAATTAAAATCCAGAAGCCTTGGATGAGTAACGCGCGAAGGGTAGGGGAACGAATTTCGCGTTTCTCAACATTGGTTGCTAGGGAAAGAGACGAAGAAGGGTGCGAAAGAAGGGTGGAACGAAGATAGATGAGTGACCTGGCCGGAAAGAGTGGCAGATAGAGATCTCCACTTGCAGTTTTTGCCATCGCAGCCGAGTAGAATGAACTCGTTAGATATCAAACTCCATGTTGTCTTTGAAAACTTCGTTACGAGCCCTGTGTACCTTTCACTCTACTACTTCCACACTCGGTCTTTTCGTCTAGACAACTTTGTTCGTGTTATAAAACTAGATACCGTCATCCGACGACGATGTCACCTGCTGCAGCGTGCACGTGTTTAGAATAGGGAATTCCAGATTTCATATCTATATAACACGCTCGTCTAAATAAAGACTTGGTACAAGAATTCCACGGTCTTTTTCACTTTTTACTTTGTTTTTCAACTTTACATTCGGTACGAAGTGTACGATCTGCATTTTTCGTAATTTATTCGTTTTTTCAATTACTACATATAAATGAATGCGAAGTAAGAGCTAGAAATTGTATATACTCGTGTTATCTATGCTTAGTTTAGTTTATTTTATGATTCTGTTCTTCAGAAAGAATGACAATTTATTTAAATTAAATAATAGTAACGTAGGGAAATGAAATTAACGTATTCAACTTAGAATCTAAATAAAGGATGATAACGTTATTTTGAATAATATAAAAAAAAGAGATTAGCTGCATTTGGGTTAACATGTTATCTGCTATGCAAATTTTATACGATACAGCCGAATATACGTATCAGAAAATTAATTTACTGAAACTTTCTTTCATATCTATTTGTAGTAGTACCTCGCGTTGTTATCACAGTATTAAAGATATTGACAATTTTACGACTATGTACTGTTCATTTCTAATTTAATTGTCTCAATCAATTCTCACATCGCCAATCGTTACTGACTAATCGTGGTAGTCAACATATTAAAATGAGGCAAAACCGAGAGAAACATACAATTCCAATAAATCTGATGAATTAATTCAGTAGCACTACCTCGTAAATTATTATCGCTAAAAGTAATCGCAGATTTCAAAGTTAAAAAATAAAACCGTTAAAAGACAATAACAGTATCGATTATCCACCGTGTAGCATGATACATTCCATGTATAACCATTCCCTTCTAAAGCAAACACTTCGACCCCCACATTCTTTCGGTTTATCTCCCTAAGAGAAATTTCTCAAAACACGTAAAGCGCGTCTAACAAATAATATTTTCGAAGCTTCCTCACCATGAACCGATATTATTTTAACTGTCGTGGGCGCACTCTTCCTACAGGGACATTTCCAACCTTTGCCAATACTTTGTATAAAAGACGGTACCGTGTAGTGGCGTGTAGGTAAGGCAAATAACCCGTCTCTCGGTGAAAACGTAGCCGCCGAAGCTTCGTTGGCGTCGTACCGGTAAAATTGGGTTAGCGCTACGAGTCGCGCGTGTATGAAAAGCTCTGGAGTTTACTTTCCCAGAAGAGCAAATATCCCCTTCCTCCCTAGCCCAGTTCTCTCTCTTTCTCTCTCTCTCTCTTCCTCTCTCTCTCTCTCTTTCTCTCTTGCTCTTGCTGTCTTCCTCTCATTCCCTTTGCGAGTACGGTGGACAATAGAGAAGTAAAGAGAATTCGCATTTTCAACCGCCGTGCGTTACCTAACCTACCTAACGGAGAATCCAACCGACTATGGGGCTGGCTTCTAGGCCAATTTCCCTCTGATGCAATTCAGTAATGGCCGGTGTTCCTTTCCGGGAATTCGCGCGAAATAAGTAGCAGAATGGAACGCATAAAAGATTCGGCGACACAAAGGCGAATATTTTATTCTTGTTGTTATACGCCATAAAAATCGCGAGGCGGAGAGAGTTCCTGAATTGCGAATTGTATCGCGACTTTTGTGTTGCGAGAAAGATTTATCACGCGACTTAAGGTTTGTCGTTTATTTGCCTACGTATCAGAGTCGATCGAATAAACTCTGGTTTAGCTTGTACTATGTAATCGTTCTAGTGTTACTGCTAATAATCACAATTAATTTATTAACCCTCTCGTTCCCACGGTAATCAAGTATGATATAAAAAAATTAATCGTTAGATGCGTATATTTGCGCATTCGAGAGTGGAAAATTTAAAGATGAAAAATTGCATCGAAAGCCGATAATATGCAAGATTGGAGAAAATATTTGGAATATAGAATTTGTTCGAATATTTAGTGGATGAAAAGGATTTCTGCCAGGATTCTATATCTGAATGAATCGTTTATTTATTATGTAACAAGTCAATATTTGTGACTGTTAAATAATTCGGGAATGAGAGGGTTAACTGACGGATCAATGATCATATTGATTGATTGTCTCGTTTACCTGTGAAGTCTTTAGTTTCCTCGATCGCGAATCACGCTTATCTCCTTGTTAAAAGATATCTTCCTGTTCTGAAAAATATTGCAACAAAATTAACAATTACAATACAATATATGTTAAAAAATATACAATATATGTTAATATATGTTAAAAAATTATAAAATATTTTGCGGAAAAGGAAACGTTGACAGGGTACAAAGAATCAGAAAATTGACAGGAAGGTGAATTGAAATTATAATTACAAAGATACAAAAATATCTTTGTTTCAAAGATTAAAATTAGTCGTATAAATTTTTATAAAATAGACCAATTTAAAAATAGAGTGACTTTAAAACTTTAAAAAGTGTGAAATATTGTAACCCATTCTAGTAATTAATCAAGCCCACAACTTTTTTCTATGTTTACTAGTATCTTTGCTAGTACTGTATCGGTATTAAAAGCGTAAAAGAGTTCACAGTTAACCAAGAGAAAGGATTTCCTTTTTTACGGGCAATTTTTCACGAGACTTTGTAACAACAGCTACAATACAAAGTTAAGAGAATTCGCGTCTCTGGCCCATGCTCGGTGGCTCGTTTATTCGCTAGAGGATTCTTACTGTGGCGGCACTCGACAACAAAATACCACCACTCTACACTAACTACTCCCGGTCGACGGCGGCGCAGTGGTTAGAGCCTTAGATGCGAACATTTGGACTCGTGTTCGAATCCCGGCGACCGGAGTTCCATATTTAGATATTCCATCACAGATGTTGAGTATCAAATAAACAAACAACGACTTGAAAAAGCATAAATAAAAAATTTTTTTCTTATTTACAAGCACTTTACAATCAATTCTCGCATCGAGAATTTTGAGTAAGTTTCTCTGACGTGGTGCAGTGACATGACTAACTAATTTACAGTAAGTTAGTTTATTTCTAGCTGCATCTAGTACTTAGGACTAAAGGATAGTGTTTTCTTAGCCTGCGAATCTGGTCCGATGTATTAAGTAATTTAATAATTAGGGGATTTCGATGGTTGTTAACTCTTATGATATATCTGATACTACATTTTCTTATTTCTTCTTTGACTGTGGATATCTTGAGGTCGATATGTATTGCTTCGTTGGTAACATACCAGGATCATCTACCAGGGATCTTAGCGTTTTCGATTGGAAGCGTTGGAGTATTTCAATGTTGGAATTACTTGCTGTTCCCCATAGTTGGATCCCGTAGGTCCAGACAGGTTTTATTATGGTCTTATAAAGCGTAATTTTGCTCTGCGTGCTTAAGTTGGAACGTCGGCCAATGAGCCAGTAGAATTTTTAAATATAGGAAAAGGAGAGAGAAATGCGAGATCTGCTAGTAGAACTCTTCAGTAAAGCTTACCTAGCAGAACTATACCTTAGACACAATGGAAGAAGAGAGGAGAGAGGAAAGACATTAATATATATGGTAGAATGATATGTAAGCAAGATATGTACGAATGGCGGGCCTACTGTATCCAAAGCTCGGTTCCACCCCCCTTTTGCAGTGTGACGTTTCCTAGTGGAGCGACCACCCCTACTTCGGATCTTCTTGCCGCGATCAAAGATCAGGAGGGGATACTATTGCTACTAAACTTACTATTCTATTTTATTGCTTTACTTGAGCTGGAGGTGCGGGCGGTCCGTGCGTGCGCCATACACACAGTGTAGCAATTATCTTGAGCGTGAGGACACGTGGGTATCGCTATATAACGGGCCCCTTCTCCTAGGGGG